CCTCCTCATGGGCTAGAACATCCCTCCTCATGGGCTGGTACCTGTGGTTCTAGTTTACTTGTTTTTTTTTTTCAGTTTGCTAAAGGGTGTACATACTTGCTAGAGAGAGACCGAGAGCACAGAATTGAGGAAGCAGTCCCCAGAGGGATGGTCACCCTGCAATCCGTTCTCCTCCATTTTCCTTTCGGGGTTTCGGGCATCCATGTTTGCATACACACATGTTGGTGTGGTTTTCAAATCACTACGTTTGGGACCTGAACCCTCACAGTTGGTCATGTGGGATCCAGCTGCCTTAGTTACTGTGCCATGGGCTGGTTCTCAGTTTATTTTCGTTACTTTTTTCTTTTCTATTTTTTTGGGGAGTTTTTGCTATAGGGTGTGTGCGCTTGCCAGAAAGACAGAGCCAGAGAGACAGAAAGTGAGAAATCACCCCCTCTCCCCCAGGAAGGATGACCACGCCGCAATCCCTTCTCCTCCATTCTCCTCTTGGGATCTTGGGCACGCACGCACACGCGCCTGGCGTGAGTTGAAGCCACTGTGAGTTTAAGCCACCGTGTCAGGGACTCGAACTGCAGTCGACTGCATGGGAGTCCAGAGACATCGCCAGTATGGCGACTGCAGGTCCTTCAGTTAATTTTTTTTTAACAGCTTCATAAATACAATTGTAGAGATGAGCATAATTTATTTTACCAGTTGTGCACTGATGGGCATTTGTCTGTTTGCAATTCTTTCCCCTCCTGGGCCCCAGAGAGACTGGGCTTCCTCCAGCTCGCTGGCTTGTAAGAGGAGCATCAGTGCAGCGCTGCCATCAATCCGAGCTACGTGGTCTTTAAAAATACATAACCCAAAAAATAAGGCTCCATTAAACAAACTTATAAAATATGAATGGGTTGCTTACCCTGCCCCTCCCCAGAGCATACGGGTCAGCTGCTTGGATCTTTGCAAGGCTGAGTGCCTGAGCTCGTCCTCCGTATATTCACGAGAGGGGGGTCACCCTGTTGAGTTTGGGGTCGGTCTTGAATCCGATTAAATTGTGAACCTTTAATGGAAAGGATTCAAATAATTGCTGCACGATAAAGAATGCCAAACATGTCTGAGCGGATGAATCAAATCTCACACTAAACCAAATCGTAGATAAATTCCTTTTTTTTTTTTTTTTTTTTTGGTAGAGGCTTTTGCCCTAGGGCATGTGTGCTCACCAGAGAGAGAGACAGTGAGAGGGAAAGTGAGAAATCACCCCTCCCAGGAGGTATGGCCACACTGCAGTCCCCTCCCCCCCATCCATTCTCCTCCTGGGATCTTGGGCATGCACGCACATGTGCCCAGGATGAGTTTGAAGCCACTGGGTCTGGGATTTGAACTACGGTCAAATGGGAGTCCAGTGGGAGTCCAGTGACATAACCTCTATGCCATTTGTTGGCGTCATTGCCCAGGGGGTGCAAATGAAGCTGCTGGAAATCAGCTAATTTGTCAAGGTCACATAAGTTGTTGGTGGCAGAACAAGAGCCAGGAGCCAAGTGTCCTCATTCTCTGGTTTTCATTCTCATTCCCCCTGAAATAGACTCTCTCGGAGTCTTGGAACCCTAAATGTGTAGAAATCAGGTCCTGCCTCACAAGCATTTATGAAGACGAGTTGCATTTGGGACATCTCCATTTAAGGGAAGTTGCTAGACATTCGCCTGAGAAACTCCCAAAGAGTTTTCTAGAAAGGAGACGCCAGTTTATTAGGTTCCTCTCCCCAATGTTTGAGAGCATGGGATTCGTCTCCATTCTTGTGGGGTTTAGCCATGCACAGCAAGAACCACCACAGGAATGAAATGTGGCTAATTTGATGGGAAAATGAACATCAGAGGCATTTCAATTTTTACTTTGTTGATTGAGTGGTTGGGCATCTTCTTATATGTCATCTCCCTATGTATATATATTTATTTTGTTATGAATTGCCTACTCATGTCCTTTTCTCATTTTCTTTCTTTTTCTTTTCTTTTTTCTTAAGAGATTTTTGCTAGAGGGCGTGTGCACTTGCTGGAGAGACAGAGAGACAGAAAGCCAGAAATCACCCCCTGAGGGGGATGGCCACAGTGCAATCCCTTCTCCATTCTCTTCTTGGGATTTGGGGCACACATGCACATGCACCCAGGAGTGAGTTTTAAGCTGCCAGGTCTGGGGCTTGAACTGCCATTGGCCAAGTGGTAGTCTAGCACCTTAGCCACTATGTCACCTGCTGACCCCCCCTTTTTCTCATTTTTCTATCATGCAATTTTCTTTTTTTTTTTCTTTTTTTTGGAGAGGTTTTTGCTATAGGGCGCGTGCGCTGGCCAGCCAGACAGAGAGAGACAGAGAGACAGAAAGCAAGAAATCCCCCCCCAGGGGGGATGGCCATGCTGCAACCCCTTCTCCTCTCGGGATCTTGTGTGCTCACGCACACGTGCCCAGCGTGAGTTTTAAGCCACCAGGTCTGGGACGTGAACCGCGGTCGACTACATGGGAGTCCAGCGACATAGCCGTTATGCTAACTGCTGGTCCTGCGATTTTATTTTTTGTATTCTTTAGTAACTGTGCTTTATGTCGAAATAGGAAGAATCCATTTTTATCACTAAAATGTTAACAATCTGGACGCTACGCATAGTTTACTATATGATTTTTGCACATGATCAACCAGTTTTGCTATTTTTTCATCTTTTTCATCCTCATGGTTATTACAACTTTCTTCTTCCTAATTGTGTGTGTCTTGCTTATTGTTGTTATTATTATTTATTAAACCCCTTGGAACTGTGTATGTTTAGTCTGGATGCGTATCATCCAGATTCTAATTTTTCCCTTTTCCTTAGTTAATAGTTCTTTTGGGCTTTGCTTTGTTTTGTTATTCTTCTCGAACTTCCTGAGTTGATGCCCAGCACATTGGTTTGTATCTTTTTAAATATAGGAATAATAACTTTTAATGCTATGATTTTTCCTTCCGATTATAGCTTTAGGCACATCCCACACTATTCTTTTAATATGCAGTATCCTCTTTATTGTTATTTTCTTTGTTGTAATGATTGGTTTTGATGTTCTTTTTCTCCCAGGTGATTTGGAAGAGTGCCTTTACATTTCTAAGTGGCCACGGTTTTAAAAAATACTTAGAAGTAATTTCTAGTGTCCTTACTTTGTGGTCAGAAAGTTCAGTTTTTAGCCACTGTTCACTGACTGCCATTGTGAGTTTAGAGGCTCAGATACCTGGAGCGGCCTAAGAATGTCTCTGCTCTTCGGGAGGCTTTAAAGTCAGAAGGGCCTGTGAGCCGAGGTGGAGTTGAGACAGCTGGCATTCCCAGGGGCTTCCTGTGTGCGGTCTTTATATGGATTGTAGTGATGGCTGGTGAGAAATCAGATTCTTCTTCCCCTATATTTGTGTCTGTGTATGCACGCATGTGCGTGTACGTGGTGTTTTAGACAGGCTCTTGCAGTGTCATGCTCCGTGGTCCCTTTTCAGCCTCCCTGTAGCTGGGGCCACAGGTGTGCGTCAACACTCTCAGCTTTCTCCCAGCATATTTTATTTATTGAGGTTTTTTTTTTTTTTTTTTTTTTTAATTTTGCTATAGGGTCCATGCGTTTGTTAGAGAGAAAGTGAGAAATCACCCTTACCTCCCAGAAGGTGATGGCCATGCCACAGATCCTTCTGCTCTAGTCTCCTCTTGGGACTTTGGGTACACACTCTATGATTTTCAAGCCACTTGATCCGAGACTTGAACCCCAGTCGACCATGTGGGAGTCCAGCGCCTGAACCACTAAGCCGCCCTGTGTTCCGCTTCGTTCCCCCATGCGTTTTAAAGGCAGAAGATCTGTGGCACCATCAGTGGTGAGACTTTTCTCCCATCAGGTGATGAATAGCACATCATGGTCCCTCTCTGTGGGGACCTGGGCCTCAAGGCTCCTCAAGTTTCCTCATCCAGAGGGAGTCCCAGAACTCCTTGAGCTGGGTTCTCACTGTTCCCTAGACGGACTGTAGGTGGATTTGCTCCCCCTTCACCCGAGAGGGCAGAAACTACCTTCTTCATTCACAGGAAATGCAGGTTGTAGAACTGTAGATTTTTGGGGACCAGCAGATAGTGTAATGGTTACACTGCTGGACACCCATGTAATTGACCATGATTCGAGTCCCGGATCCGGCAACTTGGGGCTCATGCCGGGTATGCATTCATGTGTGCCTGAAAAAGTCCCAAGAGGAGATTGGAGGAGGGGGCCGTTGCAATGTGGCCACCCCCCTCTGCAATGTGGTCATCCCTCTAGGGTATGGTTTCTTGTTTTCTGTCTCTGTCTCTCTGGTGAGCACACACGCCTGATAGCAAAAAATCTCTTTTTAAAAAGAAAAAACTGTGGATTTTCATTGGAAGACAAAAGTGTTGCCTATTATAGAGTCCACTTAAAAACCATAGAACAAGGGAGAGAATTTTATTTCCATATGGGTTATGTTAAGAAGCGCGTGTGTGCGTGTGCACGTACATGAGAAAGAGGAATGGCCCTGTTATAGGGAGCCTCATTAAAGAGGCCTGGAAAAGGTTAGCCCACTTTCTGGCCAGGCATCTTACTCTCCCCACACAGCACACTCCCCTGGAAGGGGAGCGAGAATCTATGGCCAGAGAGACCCTGGCTGCCTTCCAGGCCCTGGATCAAGTAGACCCTGCTCTTTCCCGCCAGCTACCCCTCATTAGCACTCTATATTAACTCAGAGAAACTGCGCTCCCGAGGGGCTCCAGGAAATGGGAGAACATGGAGACCAGCTCCAAGTGGTGGGGACCCAGGTCTCTCGCCGGGACGCCATTCATTTGCTGGCAGGTGCACCTGGGCCCACTTGAAATTGGGCTGAGGAAGCCAGGAGCTTGTTACGGCTTAAAGCGGTGCTGATAGGTCGAGCGGCCATTCACCTGCTGCTGGCTGGTTCCCATCTGTGTTAACAGCTTCCAACTGGCCTCATTATTTAAGAAACCAGAGGCTTCTGGGAAATAGCCCTTACTGGGTTTTGCACACTGTACTGGATCCTCTGGAGGCCCTGCAGAGGTCCCCGGTTGCAATCAAGGAGGGGTGGACAGAGGTAGGCTTGGGGTTGGTTTCTGTCTTGCCGGGCTTGACTTGTCACCCAAAGTATAACCTGTGGATAAGCTTACTTATCCTTCCAAGACTCAGTTTCCCCTAGTGGAAGGTGTGGGGTGGCAGCAGTGTGGAGGGGGTGAGAGTGAGGGGGCTGGGGTGGAAATAGCCATTCCTTCTCCTTCTTAGGGTTATAAGTAAGAAGGAGGGGGAGGAAGAAAGGAACATTCTATTCTATTTTACTTATTTTTTAATGGCATGTGTCAGACTTTAGGCTGGCACTTTTGAACAGATGCTCAGAAAGTTAGTCATTTCCCTTCCCACCCTTTCCTTCACCACCGGCCCCTTGTTCTGTGCAGCCTGCACCCCACCCCCCCAACCCCCGCCAATCCTTCTTCTTAGTCCCCTCCGTCTTCCTGCAGCTCCTAGTCGGCACCATGCTTTCTTTCCTTTTTCTTTTTGAGAGATTTTTGCTATAGGGTGTGTGCACTCACTAGAGAGAGGGAGATAGAAAATGAGAGATCACTCCCCTCTGGGGGTATGGCCATGTTGTAATCTCTTCTCTTCCATTCTTCTCTTGGGATTTTGGGTCCGCCTGGTCGGGGACTCTGACCACAGTCAGCTACATGGACGTCCAGCACCTTAACCACTATGCCACCTGCTGGTCCCACCGCGCTTTCTATCCTGGAATAGCGGGGCCCTCGGTCCTCCAGGTGCATGCTGCAGATTGGCACCATTGGCACCACCTGGAAACTTAGAACTGAAGCAGCTCTAGACCTACCATATTAGACTTGGTGTTTTAACAGGTGTTCTCACTGGGTCCAGGTCCCCGAGTGGTCTGAGTGCCTGGTCAGGTTGCAAGTGCTTCCCGAGATTCTTCTAACCTGTGAGCTGGCGTTGGTAGCAGCCGTGAGACCTTCTCACCCCTTCCTTGAGTGGTTTCTGTTCCTGGAATTCCTATGAATGAAAGTAGGCAAGAAACATGCCAGGCCTCAAGATTTAGATACAGAGAGGACCTTTTGTGCCGTGGGCACATGCTGTTCTCTCTGTCAAGTGTTAAGGTTGTCAAGAAGGAAGACTCAGTCTCTACTGAGCTGAACAGCTCTTAACACCTTATTGAGAGTGCTTGCGGGAACAGCAGATAGCGTAATGGTTATGTTGCTGGACTCCCACATAGTTGACCATGGTTTGAGTCCTAGACCTGGCGACATAAAACTCACTCTGGGTGTGTGTGTCTGTGCATGTGTGCCCAAGATCCCGAGGGACAATGGAGGAGAAGGGATCGTGGTGTGGCCATCCTCTTGGAGGGTAATTTCTTGCTTTTCTGTCTCTGTCTCTGGCAAGCCCATGTACCCTATAACAAAAATCTTTCTTTAAGAAAAAAGAGTGCTTGAATTCTCGGCAAGAGCAGAGATAGCTGCCTGAGGCAGGGTTCTAGGTGTTTCTGGAAACTGAAGACAGCTGACCTTGGGAGAAATGAGGTGGAATCATTAGTAATGTTTGAGGCCAACTCCTACATCTAGAGGCTTTCAAAAACGTTAAAATGAAGCTCCTTGAGGGCCAGGCTGTGGCGTGGTGGTTAGACAGTTGGATCCAACATGACTGACTTCACAGTTTGAATCTTGGAGCTGGCAGCTTGAAAAATGCACCAGGTGATCCAGCAAGTGGCACAGTGGTTAAGGCACTGGACTTCGACATGGTGGACCATGGTTCAAGTCCCAGACCTGGTTAACTTGCAGACTCACACCAGATGCATGTGCATACATGCTTCAGATCCCAGGAGGAGGATGGAGGAGAGAAGGGATTGCAGTATGACCATCCCCCTGGGGTGATTTCTCACTTTCCCTCTCTCTGTCCTCTCTGGTGAGTGCATGCTCCCTATGGCAAAAAGCTTAAAAAGAGAAGAAAAAATGTACCAGGCACATGGGCATATGCCCCCAAAATCCTGAGAAGAGAGAATGGAGAAGAGATTGTGGTATGGCCATCCTCCCTGAGGGGCGATTTCTCACGATCTCTAGCTCTGTCTCCAGTAAGGACATGTACTCTATAGTAAAATTAAAAAAAAAAAAAATCCTAAGCTCCCTGAGAGAACAAGGTGTGTATTCTGCTTTATTGTATGTGCTCTCCATCCCCCACTTTTGAAGGAGCAGTATGTGCATCTATTGCTTTGACTGGGATTTCGGTATGTAGAGCAGAAAAGTGCTGTCGAGATCCCTACCCGCCTTGCCTGTGGCCAGGGAAGACATCACTAATCCATTATTGCACTCTTCCACTCTGAGCCCGGAATCTGATACAGCACTCTAGCCCTTACCGACGAGTGGCCAGAATTGATTAGGTCTGCATCAGCACACCTGGTCTCAGGCCAGAATTCCCCGACGCCAGGGACGCTGCCCAACAGGCCCATTTCTGAACAACCGGGCACTGGAAGTGGCGATAAACTCGATAAGAACATTTCTTGGTCCCTTTAGACAGAGCAGGCACTCCCCAAGTGTGGGGTTGGAGACGAGGATGATCATAGGTAGTTGGCCTCTTTGGCAGAGAGAGAATTCTGGAATCTGTTCTTTCCTGGTGCCAGCGTCTGTCTTACTGTTTGGGGCATCAGAAAAGTCATGAGGTGTTTTTCTACACAAAAATGTGCCACGACTTTTCAGACAACCTGATAATTTTCTTTCTTTTTTTTTTTTTTCTTGTTTTTTTATTTAGAAAGTTTAGTGAAACAACCTGGCATCACAGTTTAGACATATTTTAATTTCACTATAATTTAACATTTAAAAAAGCTACTAATTTTTGATTTTCAACAATAAAATTTATAAAAATAATTTTACATTTATAAAACAAATTACTTCACAATAAATTATTCTTTTCTATTACCTAAAAAAAGGTTGTATACTCTATAAAAGTAATAACTTTCCTTAATAATATTTTAGAAATATGCTGAAAACATTAGTTCCTCTTTGTCCAGCATTTTTGGCAGTTCAGTGTATCAAAATATTATATTGCAAGTTCCCTGATCATAGTTATTAAAACCTCAGTGGACTGATAATTTCTACCCAGCTCTTACATCTGGTGGTTCTGGTGGGATGGATACCACCTGCCTTCTCCGCGGGCTAGCGTGTGACCAATCAGAACAGTCCATTGCTCAGGCCAAAGTGATTGGTTCAGAGAAGGGCATGTGACCCAATCCAGGTGCATTAGGACTGGGTCTAGTCCAGGGCTTAGTCCAGTTCTTTTAGTGTTTGTTTTATTTTGAGGTTTTTGCCATAGGGTGTGTGTACCCACCTGAGAGAGACAGGGGAATGTGAGAAATCCCCCCCACCCCCTGGGAGGATGGCAATATTGCAATCCCTTCTTTTCCATTCTTGGGATTTGGGGCATGCATGTAAACACACCTGGCATATTTTTTTGGGGGGGGGATTTTTGCTATAGGCATATACACTTATTAGAGGGACAGAGAGAGAAATCACTCCCAAGAGTGATGGCCATTTCACTGTCCCCTCTCCTTCATTCTCTACTGGGGATTTTGGGCATGCACACACATGTGCCTGGTGTGAGTTTCATGACTCCGGTTTCATAACTTGAACCATGGCCATGTGGGAGTCCAGCGCCTTCACCAGTATGCCACCTGCTGGCCCCTTGGTGTGATTTTTTAAGCCACTAGGTTTGGAACTCGAACTGCAGTCAGCCATGTGACAGTCCTGTGCCTTAACCACCATGCCACCTTCTGGCCCCTTGGTCCACATTTAAAGTAAGCTTTTTGAATTTGTTGGCCTTCACTTTTTATTTAACTACTAAAGTAGCTAATAAGCAATATGAAGAACATCAAGGAGACAAGTCCGTGGGTGATGGAGGGCCTCTTCTCCTCCTCTTCTCCTTCAGTAGCTCCTCGAGATGCGTGTGGTGGTTTGGTGGTCTCAGGACAGTGAGATGTTCAGCATGCGAAAGGCAGATGCCTAGCAGACTCATTGCCTTTTATATTCGGCCACGTCAGGGACAATATTTATGAAGCAGTATACATGACGCAATCCTTCTCTGACTCAGAAGCCACATCGCCAAGCTTGGAGGTTCTAGGCCTTGAACTCGGAACCAGGGCAATGTCCCCTTATCAGTATCTTGTTATAGTCCTAGGGGTTTTCCACGTGGGACTTTCAGCAGGCAGGACTGGCCATGGCTTATCCTCACAGGCTCCTGCAATGTCATTGGCTTGTTGGCAAGTAAGTGTGCTCTACCTACTGGAGGTAGGTCTCAGAGGACCTTTGCCTAGACCTACTAAGAGCTACAGAGAGAGTTTTCCTGAGGTTTAATACAAAAATAGGGCTCTAAGACAAGGAGATAGGAAGAGAGGGAGAGAGGGGGAAAGATAAATACCAAGCCCCAAAGATTTCACTTGAGTGCCTGGATCCAGCCATGCCTGAAACTTGTATATCCATAGGTGTTTTTAGTTCCTTGAACCAGTAAGTTCTCCTTTTGGCTTAAGCTGGTTTGAGTCAGACCTCTGTCACTTCCACGTAAACAGCCCTACTAAGGTCGATGGGGCTGGGGTCCATGAAGTCTGCTGTTTGGAATGCGTGGGTATGCAGAATTTCTCTGTAAAAAATGTAATGGACCCCGAACCAGGAGACCCTCCCCTTCTGCCACCTCCCCGTCATTACTGACTCCGAAACCTCAGTTTACTGCTCTGGAAATCGAGAGGGTTTTTCTTGGTGGTCTTGGGTGTAGCATATGAAGAAGCCACGTGGGCAGAGGAGGGATTCCTCAAGAGCAGTCAGAAATGGCTGGGTAGACTCACAATGACAGTAATGACCGCTCTTGGGCATTGAGCACCTGCCCTGTGCCAGGTGTTCTAGACATTATCTCATGCCATCCGGCCAGCCACCCATGAGGTTGTTGTTCCCATTTTACAGATGACAAAACGGAGACACAGAAGGCCAAGTAATTGATCTAGGGCCACCTTGAAAATAAATGATGGAACCAGGGTTTGAACACTAGCTTGCTGCGTCCCCTCCT